ACACGGCCTATTTTAGACTGGGGGTCAGGGGGGATCATGTGACGTAAGGTTAATAAAGCTGAGCTAAATCTTCTTATTCCCCCCCCCCCTTTAAGGTTTTAACATAGGGCGCATACACTCACAAGAAAAAGAGAGTGCGACAAAGAGAGGGAAAGTGAGAAATCACCCCCTGGGAAGATGGTCACGCCACAACCCTTCCTCTTGCAATTTTAGGCACACATGCACATGAGCCTGGCCTGATTTTCAAGCCACCAGGTCCAAGACTTGAACTACAGTAACCATGTGGGAGCCTGGTTGCGCTAACCTCCATGCCACCTGCCGGCCCACACTGAGGGAAATCCCAGTGAACACCAAGTGAGAGTTCACAGTCAAGCAAAGGTGCTGAGTGGCTGCCTAAGTCAGGGTGGTCTGAAACTCTTTCAAAGGAGGGTGTGAGCTTCTGCTCAGAGCTGGGCACAGCAGGCCCCGGTCACGGTAGTGCATCGTTTTGGATGACTCTGGTAATTTGCCACCTTTAGTTAGCCAGCAGACAGTCGATGCTCATAATACCATTAACCCAGGTGTTACACACATTCTGTTTTTAACAAGGGATCCTCCCCGCCACACACACACACACACAATAGCTCTCCACTCAGCTAAACTACAGGGTCACACACTAACAATTCACGTGAGAGAACTTCCCCAGGCCCTGGCATTTTATGCTCCCGCCTGCCCTGACACTGCCCACTGAGCAGAACACTCTACCTGATGGAGATGTCCAAGGAAAGCCTGGGCCTGGGCTGTTGAGATTGCTCCTCCAACAGGCACGGGCTGCTTCTGGAAGTCCAGGCCATTGGTCTGTGTGCCTAGAGAACAAGCACAATAATGAGGACTATTACAAGGGGAGACTCAAACAGAATAAAGCACTGGGCTTAATTTCCAACATTCCTAAGTTTCCTATTGAATGCAAGTACTTTTCTGAGTAACTCCAAGAAGAGACTCTACAGTAAAACATTTCTCTTTTAAAGGTAGGGAGGTAGGACAACTACAGAAATGCTGATTTTTACAGAAACAAAAATGTAAATAATGACTTACAATTTTAAGAAAGCATGAGAGAATTCGGATGTGAGGAGAGGGACTGGAGCCGTCACATCGTGGGTTGAAAAGGCACGAAAGTTAAGACGGCTTTAAGCAGGAGATCGTTACCACTGCTTTCCGGCAGGGAGACAGAGTTCCAGAGCGGTGCCCACACTCGTCTGTCCTCACCCTGCTCGTCATCTGGCTTGGACAGAAGGAACTCACTGCTGATTTTGCCAATAGCAAGGACTTAGTATTTATTCAAACACTTTAATGAATGGCAAATTACAGTACAAACAGCCCCTTACATGATTAGCATAAGAAAAATAAAACAGTTGTACTAATTTGATCAGTCCCAAGGAATAGATTGCTGCACATTCCACCAGCAGGGCTCTGCGGTAACTGTTTTCAACACGTTACACCAGCGTCTAACCACCTAGCTGTGATGTGACGTCGGAATAACACTAACGCACTGCAAGACAGGCCGTCCACTGCCCACAGATATCTTCCAAGGATACCATAAATTGTTTTCAAAGTACTAAAGCCAGTTATTTACAAAAAAAAAAAAAAATCAGAACACTTTGTACTAAATACAATATAAAATAAAATTTAAGTAGAATCACTTCCATAAGCCACACATAGAGGTTTCGCTATTTCATTTTTTAAATTTTGATAAGAGCACATGAGAGTGCTCTTGCACACGTGAGAATGACAGCGACAGAGCAAGAGAGAGTGTGGCACCCTCCACGAGGTCTGCTCGTGCCACAACCTCTTCCTCCAGCCTTCCTGCCCACTGGATCTTGGGACTTGTGTGCGTGCCCAACGTGTTTCAGGCTCCTGGGCCAGGGATCTGAACTCTGATTACCTTGTGGGATCCAGCTTCCCATGCACAGAGCACTACCATTGTCCCATGGGGGAAATCTGGTTTTATATTTTGAAGTTGTCCATTTTGACATCAATTGCTGTCTCTGTCTCCATACAAGAAATCATTACCTATGTGAGTATCTTCAGACTATGCGCCACAGGGGCTGGACAACGGTGCAAAGCTACGTGAGCCTGACTCACATGGGAAGGTTCGAGGTTCATGTCCAGAGACTTCCCCGAGTCCCCCACCCATGCATGCACCCATGATCTGCGGACGGCGAAGACTGAGTGGTGGACTATGATCTGCGGACGGTGAAGACTGGTGGACTATGATCTGCGGACGGCAAAGACAGAGTGGTGGACTATGATCTGCGGACGGCGAAGACTGAGTGGTGGACTATGTTATGAAGAACCTGATGGTGGTGCTGTCTCTATGTCTCTCTTGCTCATGTAAGAAATAAATTTAGAAAAAGTATGTACCACCAGATCATTAATCACAGCCCAGTAAAACTGGGCAAATGACTACGTCGCTGGACTCCATGTAGTTGACACAGTTTGAGTCTTGGACCTGGTGGCTTCAAACTCACGCTGGACGTGCATGTGCGTATGACCCAAATCCTGAGAGAACACAGGAGAAGGGACTGCAGTAAGGCCCTCCCCCTGGTTGGGATTTCTCATTTTCTGTCTCTCTGGAAAGCGCATGCACCCTATAGCAAAAATTTCTCAAAAAAAAAAAAAGAGGGAACCAGCAGTTAGCGTAATGGCTATGTCGCTGGACTCTCACGTAGTCGACTGCGGTTCGCGTCCCGGACCCAGTGGCTTAGAACTCACGCAGGGCGTGTGTGCATGCGTGCCCAAGATCCCGAGAGGAGAATGGAGGAGAAGGGACTGCGGCATGACCATCCCCCCTGAGGGGTGATTTCTCGCTTTCTGTCTCTCTTTCTCTCTCTGTCTGTCTGGCGAGCACATGTGACCTATAGCGAAAACCTCCACCCCCCAAAAAAAAATTTATCAGTCACTATCTTTTTTTAATCCATAAAGAGGAATAATTTGAGTGTGAGATGGGTATGAAAGACAGAGATGTTGGGAGGCAAAACCAAATGACATTTGATCTTTTTTTTTTAATTTTAATTTTTTTGGAGAGGTTTTTGCTATAGGGCACGTGCGCTCGCCAGAAAGACAGAGAGAGAAAGAGAGA